AAAGAAAAGAAAAAGGAATCCAAAAATGGCAAGAATTTACATAACATCAAACCCAACTTTTTTTTTTTTATCAAGGTGCAGTGGAGCACTATTTTGAGATAAGTCCTCAAATTTTTTTCCAGCTCTAATTGATGTGGCTTTGTCAACTTCTACCGTACAGGTATAATATTAGAGAGAATATAAAATTATTTTGACAAAGACCGGTGCATAGTGCATAACACAGCCATTATGGTTCTGTAACTGTCATATTTTAGGTCCTCAAGTCGGATACACACAATTATTGGTGGCTGCTGCCAAAAATGTGATATAGTCCCATCAGATTGGCATGTTTTTTTCCCTACACTCATGATAATTTATCACTCATCATTTGCTTTTGATATATAGAAATTTTCTTTTTTCCTTTTTCTGAAATTCAGAGTTTGCCAAAGTAACTTTAGTGGAAGTACTGTTATTGCTGCCAAAAAAACAAAAACATGAAAAAAAAAGAGAAGAGTTTATTGAATATAACCCCCTCTAAATTTACTATTTCATAAAGTACCCCTTCAATTATGAAACATAGCCAAGAATTTTGTTTGAACGAGATAAATGAAATGCTGAAATGAGAAGATGATAATTGCAACGAGTATGAAAGTCTGACCTTTCTTTCAAAGCCGAGTTGTGGCATTTGAACTTGTTAATTGTTATGTCATTCTTGAGAAGTGGCATGAACTGAAAATCTCATGCATGACTTCGCAATAATGATATTCACAAATGCCTAAATCATAATTGGTGGGTAACTCTTAAGTTCTAACTACAACTGTTTGAATTTTCAGAGACTAATAAAGATCATCTAGTTGTCGAATAATAGCCCAACTTGTGTTTTTTCGATACTATCTCCGTTCCAAAATAAGTGTCGTTTTAGCAAAATGAAGAAATTTCAAAATAAGTGTCGTTCTCACATTTCAATGCATTTTTTGTCCAAAATTTTCAAAATTACCCTCAAAACAATTAATACTATTGGTGGACATTGTTTTAATGGGGTTAGTTGAGGATATTCAAGTAATTTTGTTACCCTAATTAATAGTTTTTTAAACTATGTGCAAAGTGTAAGAAAATACTCCCTCCATTCCAAAATAAGTGTCGTTTTGGCAAAATGGAGAAATTCCAAAATAAGTGTCGTTTTCGGATTCCAATGCATTTTTTGTCAAAAATTTCCAAACGTACCTTCAAAAGAAGTAATATTATTGGTGAACATTTATTTTAATGGGGTTGGTTGAGGATATTCTAATAATTTAGTTACCTTATTAATGTTTTCTTAAACTATGTGCAAACTTTAGAATGATACTTATTTTGGAACGGAGAGAGTACTTATAAGGTTAGAGAACAATTAGAAGAAATCATGAGTAAGTACATTTTTGTCTACTAGTCTTCAACGGAAAAAATGTTAATTGCAACAACCCATTTTAATTTGTTGAACTATTATACTGAAGTAAACTGGACCACTTATTTTTTTTATAGTATTCAAACTAATATAGAGAATTTCGCCGGCACAAATTTGTTTTAGGAAATTGGTAAAATAATGGATATCTCTGAAGGCGATTTGAAATATCAAGGGTATCTTTGAAGAATTAGAAACTTAAAGGGATTATTTGCAATTTTACTCCAAAGTCAAATCATTACCAGAAAATTTCTTCAGCAACAAGTGAGCATGTGTTATCAAAGTGACCTCAACAATGCTTTTAATGCGCCTTTACAAAATGTTCTGATGCTGAGGTAAAATTGGTTGGGTGGTATTTTCAAGAATGTCATAATGCATGCTCTTGTAAAAGAAAAAAGGCATAATTTTGATCAGCCTTAAAAGAAAGAAAGCGACAAAGTGGCTCAAACTCTTATCACTCTTGATTTCTTTCTCCCGTTCACTTTAGCACAGTAAAAATAAAGTAGTCATTATTTACCCAACAAAATAGGCATTTTTATATAAGACAGAGAGAGTGCACAATGTTACAAAACACATGACAGAAATATGTGTAAAATCATCCAACGGACGCCCTGTAACCAAATTATTTTCTCCCTTCTGAAGTTATTGTCCAGTTTAAATTTTTAGTTTGATTCAGATTATGCTTATAATGAAATTTCAAATTTGACAATAATTTTTGGATAAAAGATTTTCACCATATTCATATAAAACCTTAATTTGTATGATCAAGATTTAAGCTCAATACACACCTAAAAGACAACAAATCTCCTTGCTATTTAAACTATAAAAGTAGATGTAATTCATTCTCTTTTTTCATAAAGTAAATGAAACAAACCATTCTCTTTTTTTAGAAACAAAGTAAGAACCCAAAAAAATAAATAAAATAAAAATAAAAGAATGAGAAAAGAAAAATGAAGACAGCAGGACACCTTAAAAACATCAAAAAGGAAAATACAGCAGAGGGTTCTGTTGAAAGTTGAAAAAAACTCCTCGTGCGAATCGTATGGAAAGATCTATGGAGGATCATGTTAGGAGAAGGGAAAAAAAAAGAAATGGAGGGGCCCTGCCGGGGATATGTCAGGTGGGCGTTCCAGATGATGAATATGGGGGAGAGAATGGTTTGTTTTCGATGGGTTTTTATCCGTCTGTTCCAATCATAGCAGGCATCACTCATGATTTGATTGATGCTGTAGGCCTAACATTAGCTTTTAGTTTCGCCTAGCTTCTTAAGGTCGTAATATTGGCTTGTGTGTTCCTAGAGCCTTGGGGACCCCTAACAGTTTTATTTACATGTGTTTGAGAGGTGGAAACCATGGAACCCACCTTAGTTAGTAGTAGTAATTGAATCATAATTCCAGTTGTCGTGTTGTGATCAAGTTATATTATCTAAAATTTTCATTCAATAATAACAATTTAATTGTAAAATTTCTTACATTTTATTGCATAATCACATCAAATGTAAACTACCAATTGTGTTAAGCGTACTGTGTTAACAGAGTTGTCTAAATAATTTGGATCGCTAAAGAATTCCGCCAATTCTATGTATATACTGATTTGTTAATTACAGAAAATGAAGTTCGAGTCATGTTTTGTGTCGTGCTATAAATTGATTTATATGCCCCACCAGCATTATTGGTTGTGGTCATTTCTTACCATCTCGATTGGGCAAATTGGGTTGGGGGATGGATTTTACTCTCTTGGGAGTGATTAGTGATGATGGTGCCATCTTTGTAGGTTACTGGCATGGCTGGGTTGTCTGTGGTCCATGCTTTGGATACTCTCATTCCAGAGATTTTCATGGTGTGATTGATATACATCCCACTTGGGTTGCCATTGCCAACGCCACCATAACTTGATCACATGACTTTGCTCCTCCCAGGGTCCTCCGATCCGTAAAGAGTTTGGGAAACAAAAAAACCCATATAGACTTGCGTCTATTATTAGTAGCCTTTCCTTGTCATATGAACAATAATTGGTGAAGTGTTGATACCATAATTAATACTCATCTGTCCAAGAAAATAAGTTCATTAACTATACTACTAAAGTCGGACAGAGTAAGTAGTATAACTAGTACTACTTCATCCGGCTTGAAATTATTGTTCAATTTAAGTTTTTTTTTTCAGTTCAAATTGTATTAAAAATGAAATTTTAAACTAAAGAATTATTTTGAAATGAAGAAACTATATATTTTTTTTTGGTGAAAATGGAAAGAAAATCATTGTGTCCCAAAAAATGTCGTCCTCATTAAGTTTTGAGATTTATATCGGATTATTTTTTTAGGGATGGACAAACTCGATGATTGTGATTTTAGTTGGGTGATAAAATTGTGAACGAAATAAGTAATTCGCTGAAGACTAACCCATTAAGATAGCGTGCTTGCACCTTAAGTTGACTGAATTACTGTCTAATCCAAACTTTAATCTGGGGCTCGAGTCCCTATGGAATGATAGGTAAATGTGTGGTAATGTTTGCAAGACTTTCATATTTGATCTGACAAGGCATACGTTAAAAAAGCTTTATTACCCGATTGGATGAGTCGTTTGACATTTTGCTTTAACTGACATGATACACATTCATGTAGTTTTTTTCCGGCACTTCAATAATTAATAAATTGAACTGTTTTGGTGTCTTTTTAGCTAAAAAGGAATTGCTTTACAAAATTAAACAGTGCATCTGAAACTAAAATGGACGAGGGACTAAAAATTCATTTATGCCTATATTATTATTATTATTATTATTATTATTATTATTATTATTATTATTATTATTATTATTTATCTTTGTAATGAAGGAGTCAAATGTCGATGTTATGAATTATTCTCTCCATTCAAAATGTAAGTCGTTTTAGACTTGGAGAAATTTATCAAAATATAAGTCGTTTTAACATTTCAAAACAAATTAATGAGTACTTTTTTGACTTTACTTTCAATAAGTGATGTCAATCTATTTTTCTTTAGTCTTGTTTATAGTCCTGATGTAATTAATGAAGAGTAAAACATATATTTAACAAATGAATTAATTGTTGAATAGTTGTCTTCTTAGTTTACATGCAAATTCTAAATTGATTTACATTTTGAAATGGAGGGAGTAATATAAAACTTTCTAAAATTTCATTATCCAAGTACAATCTCAGTCTCAAATCAATAATCAACTTTGTTATATTATTTTAAATTAATAACATAAATTACTTGTTTCGACCAACTAATGTTTGCATCATTTCCATGGAAATATCTCCTAAAAATTGTTCATTTATTCAGATGCGTTGGAGTTTGGTCTAGAGATGAATCGTAAATGAGATGAAAATTACAAGCCAAAACAGGATTCCAAGCCGCTTAGAAAGCTAACCTCCACGCCGTAACCCAACAAAGGTTTTACCTATAAGATTCATTCATACTAAGCCCACAATTTTTTTTTTACAACAACAATGCAGACGTACAATTACGACTTTAGGACAAAAAAAAGTCTTCATCTTTACCTCACTCACCATGGTTATAATTTCTCATCAAGATTAACCATGGTTACTAGAAAAGCAAAGAAGACATACTCCCATGATTGAACCAAAAAACAAATGAAAGAGAGATGATAAAAAAACGACAAAAGAAAAACAGCCTCACTTAAGTAAGTACTAGTAATATACTATATGGTAATAATAATAATAATAACAATATTAAATAATAATATGTTTTTGTGGGGAGGCAAAAGCTATGATTTGAGATTATTGGTACCCCTCTTCCTGACACCACCTTGTCATGATTGACTCAACTCTTTCCTTCTGCCCTTCCCAAACTCTCTCAAAAAATTAAAAAAAAATTAAAAGTGAAAAAATAAAAAATAAAAAATAAAAGTGAAAAAAGAAAAATAAGAAATGATTAACTGCCCATTCTCTTCTTTCTATATAACACCCTCTCAATTGCACCATTGAACATACCATTCTCTGTAAAGCTGCTTTTTCTCTGCCTTGTGATCTCTTTCTCTCTCAATTTTAGTCAAAGATATCTTCTTTGTGCACGCTCTCTGCAAAAGCCCAGGATCTCCTCACCTCCCCCCTTCTTTGTGTTGTCTACTACTACTGATTTTGAGGGTCATCAAAAAAAAGATTGAATCTTTATATTGGGTTTGAAACAGAGGAAGAAGATTGTTTCTGACATCAAGGATTTTGGGAAGAAATTTACAGAAGAAAAGTTTTTTGGAGTGTTTTTTTTTGTGTTTCTATCTATACAATTACAACACAAGAGAGAAAATGATGGTGGAAAAAGATCAAGATTTGGGTTTGAGTTTAAGTTTGAGCTTTCCAGAGAAAGTCATGACCAACAATAATAATATGATCAGAACTTCAGCAGCAGCTGATTGTAGTTCCGGTACTGCTAAATTGCAGTTGAATCTCATGCCTACTTTGGCTTCACCTTTCTCTCATCTCCTTCACCAAAAAACTCCTTGGAGTACTAATGAAGCTTTTCCTTCCTCATCAGGTTTGTTTTAATCATCTTGATCCCATATGGGTACTTTTCATCTTTTTTTTGGTGAATCTGATGGAGATCTAACCTTGTTGGGGATGTGGGTTTTGATGCAGATCGGAATTTGGAGGCATGCAGAGTGGAAACAAGGACCTTTTTAAAAGGAATCGATGTGAACCGGCTGCCGGCGGCCGCCGCCGATGCGGAAGAGGAAGCCGGAGTTTCATCTCCGAACAGTACTCTGTCCAGCATAAGCGGCAAAAGATGCGAAAGAGAGGCAAACGGTGAAGATCTCGATCTGGAGAGGACCTCTTCCAGAGGAATCAGTGATGAAGAAGACGGTGACAATTCCAGAAAGAAGCTCAGACTTTCTAAAGATCAATCAGCCGTTCTCGAAGAAAGCTTCAAAGAACACAACACACTCAATCCTGTACGTATTTCTGCCATCAAAACCAACCCTGATCATTTTTCACAAATGGATTCAATTTGAGATCAGATTTGCTGAATATGGGTCCTTTTTTTTTTTTTTTGTTTTTGTTGATCTGCAGAAACAAAAATTGGCTTTGGCGAAAAGACTTGGATTAAGGCCTCGTCAAGTGGAGGTGTGGTTCCAGAACAGAAGGGCAAGGTGAGAAATTTTGCTCATTTTCTAAGGGCATTTCTGGTTCTTGAGTTTGTAATTATGGCGAGAAGAAATATTATGTGGTGGATGTGGTAATTAATGGCCCCTAGCCTGAAGACAAACCTTATCTTGCCCCATCATGCATGCCTCATCATCATCATCATCATCAAGAGCCCATAATAACATGCTCATAAAACTGATAGCCGCGTGCGTTTCACGCGCGTATGATTTTGCAGAGCTTTGGACTTTGATTACTTTCTTCTTTTAATTAATCAAACAGACATCATGATTAACTCGTGTTTTGCCTTTCATCATTAATGATCATGCATGATTTCTGCAAAATGTTAGAACTTTTCTTTTCTTTTTTTTATTACATGGGTTTTTCTCTTTTTACCAATGTATTGAATTGAATTTGTTCGTTTGTTACAGGACAAAGTTGAAGCAAACAGAAGTAGATTGTGAGTACTTAAAGAGGTGTTGCGAAAGCTTGACGGAGGAAAACCGGCGGCTACAGAAAGAGGTGCAAGAGCTGCGGGCACTCAAATTATCGCCGCAATTCTACATGCAAATGACGCCTCCGACCACCCTCACCATGTGCCCTTCATGTGAACGGGTGGCTGTCCCGCCGTCGTCGTCGGCTGCCGCTGCTGCCGGAACTCCAGCCGATCATCATCACCATCAGCACAGACCCCCCCACGGCATGGTTCCGGCACGGACTCTTCCGTTCAACCCGTGGGCCACCACCGCCGCTGCCGCCACACCCATCCCACATCGGCCCTTTGATGCTTTACACAGCCGATCATGATCCTTTTTATTTCCTAATCGAAATGGTCAAAAATTAAACAACTTTAGAACTGTTGTGGAGTTTGAGTTTTTGACCGTTTTTATTTTTTAAGGAATCCATCCATGTGGGATTCTTGTCAAATATCTCTGTAGTAGTACCATTTTGTTGTGGGGGATTTTGTGGGTCTTTTTTAGCTTTAGCTTTTAGATGGGGTTTTGGTGTTTTTTTAGTTTTGACCCTCTTTTATGCTCTGATTATTATTTACTTACTTACCAAGAAGTAGTTATTTGACTAATTAGATTAGTCTGAAAATTAGTACTACTAATTAGTTCTCTTTCTCACCACATCATTCTAATATATTTGGTGTGAAGAGGACTTGAAATGTAAAGATCGAGTTGTTAGATTCTTCCTGTAGTTTGAGTTCTTTCTCTTAAATGGAAGTTTCAATAGTTATAAGTGACTTTTTACTATACGCTACTTTTTCCTAAATGAGTTCATATTCATGACCTGATACAGTGAATCTTCTATCATGATTGACTAATATTTTTTCAAGCTGAATTTAATTAGTTGTGCGAAATTCTACTGCATGAATAACTTGTTTATACCAAAACTATTGACCATGTTTCAAAATAAAAAATACTCCCTCTGTCCCAAAATTATTGTCCAATTTGAGATTTCACTTTTAGTACAATTTGAACTAAAAATGAAAACTCAAACTGGACAATAATTATAGGACGGAGAGAGTAACTGACCCGTTATATAATTATTTTGAGATAAAATAGTAGATATATATACTTAAATCAATTTCATTTTTTATTGTTCTAGTATTGCCACTTGTATCAAAACTCAAGTGTCAACATTTCATCTTATATATTCAGCTTGTTTAGCAAGAGTCTCATGTAACATTTTTTTTTTACAACCACTTCTGAAAAAATACGGGTCATTTTGTATATCATCTAAATTTTCATATCTATTTTAACACTTAAATAGTGTGTTACAACAGATTCTTTGCTCCATTGAGACCTTATTTCCAAAGGTTGAAATTCCAAATTACCTTTCCAATCTTTTAATGAAATTCGTTCATTTTGCGGTCTTATCAACCAACGCTATCATTTTCAAAAAAAAAAAACGCATTAATAATGCTCAATTCAAAAGCTTGGTGATTTCAATTGCTAAAAGTTGTGCTCCCTGTATTCAGTCAAACTCACGTATAATCATTTGATAATGCATGAGTTAAATTGAGTAATTGTAGTTAGGTTAAAGCAGATCGAGTTTAATCATTTGAAAAATGTAACATCGTTGTTGCCGTTGTTATGTCACAACCTAATTCTCTAGTTAGCCATGGGACGGGCCTTTCTTGATCCTGTTAGGGGTTAGATGCCAACCATCTATCTTGCCGTACACATCCTCAACCTAACCTAATTCAGCCCAACAAAAATAATTTTGATCTCCAATTAAAAACATTTTCTCTCATGAATGATTATGAGATGATTGAAGCAAGTTAGTTAAGTTGGTAGGTCCGATCTTGATCCAGTTTGACAAACTCGTGGAGCCTTACGCAATAGAATGTAGAAAATCTAGTTTTAGTGAGTCCATGGCAGTCCATTACGACTTGTATCGGATTGATCCGATCCTCCGGTGACATACTCCGCTCCTTATTATAACATATTTTGATTTGTCCTAAATTTTATCTAAGATATCTTTTTAATTTATAAAAAAATCTTAATAATATGTTTTCACATTTGTTGTGTTCACCTAATTATTAAGAAATATTTTAAAGGTTTTTATTTCAATTTTAAATACATTCTAGGTTTAATTTATGACAAATAAAAAATACCTTATAATAAGGACCGAATAGAGTATCATCTAACTACTTTGATTATTTTATAGTAGAGTAGTCCAGGATTCATGAATGGAAAGAACAGGATTAACTAGGAGGTTAAATATTTTATTTGATTAGGTGAAAGTTAATTGGGCAAGAAAGAGAAATTTTGACTGGTACTCCTTTAACGTGTACAGAATAACGAGTTGTGTTGAGGTCCATCTGATCAAGAGTTCAAATCACACTAATATTATTACTGTATCATAGTCTGCTTTATCGTGTGATGTTGTAGAGATTTTGATTGGAGTCAGTCGAAGTTTTGAGTTATGAGACATAATCGTCAGTTCAATATTATACTGATTTTCATTAGCTAAAGCTGAAAAATTGTCATGTTTATCCTCTTACAATGGCCCGAAATTATTATATAATCATATATTTACTCTTCTGACTTCTAGCACTGTGTCATTTGTGCGCTCTCTCCCCGCGACTAATGATAGTACACGCGAATATTTAGTTTTATTTTTATTTTTGAACCCGCCATGTACTTTTAAGGAATAGACCCTAAACTTAACGATGCGAAGCTCCATTGACTTGCCGTAGCGGATCTAAAACAAAAATACAGTTGGGGCCAAAATACATTAAGAGAAATATACACCGTTTATTTTATTTGTGCATCATGAATCTCATAATTTTATATCATGTATAGTCATGCTCAAATTTCATTAACTATATATACATTATCTCACCGCGTTATAGCAATCATATTATTGAAGAATTTTTTTATTCAATTATGTAATAACTTTTCACTATTTTCAAAAATAGTTAAAAGGACTCTTTCTAGGATGGTTATAACTCTGAAAGCATTAATTCAATATTTGTTTTTAGAAAAAAAAAATAAAATAAAACCACAAATCGTTTTTGAGCACATAATTAAGTAGAAACTAGTTGTATTAGTTGAACAAATTGGGTTTAGCATCATTAGTTTGATCACAATTAAAAACTCATTCAACTTTTTATATTCATTTTAAAAGAATTACTTAATTAAAACAAACTAATTCCAACTTAATTTGGATAATTTTAATTGGCCCAAAAGAAAATTATTAGAGATAAACAAGATAATTTAGCCTAATTATTACACGAATTAGTAAATTAAGTAGTAAAAACTAATCCAAACTACTTATTTAAGGCAACAAATATTTGGAACACATGTCAGCACCAGAATGAAAATTTTTCCTCCAAAACTCCTCAGCACTTCTACAGTACAAAAAAAAGGCTATATATGTATGACACGTGGCTTCCTGTATGCTCAGGAAAAATTACAGCCACAGTAATATTTAAAAAATAATTACAGTATGTGGTTATTATAATTGATTTGAATTTTGAATGTCAGGCATTTAAAGTGAAAAAACACATAATCTCTCCATTTTAGGGGAGTTTATTGTTACAGTTTTTGGTGATAAAATCATCACCATAATGCCTCCACAAAATACTCCACGATATCCAATCATTTATGTGATCCAGAGTGAGTAAATTACTCTAGCATAAAATCAGCCCGTGATAGTTGTTTACCTGTAAATCATCCCAGCAAACAGAATCAAAAACTTTTTAAAATCTGTAGATAGTATTTCACTCCAACTATTATTCTATGAACAGTATTTTTTTCATCAGAGACATCAAACAATCAACATTCAATTTGATTTCAAAATCAAATTCAGAATCCTTCCCATATAATTATCAAAACCATGTATATCTTCTCTAACAACTCCAACAACATCTCAAATCATCGAAATCATGTCCATAAAATCCTCAGTACCAATCTTTTAACATTTAAAGATGGTGGTACAGTGCAGTATTATAGCTCTATAAATAGAGAATCAGTCAAAACAGATTCGACACCAAAAAAAATCATTCAATACCCATAAATCATACCTGCAAACACTCTTTTTCATTTTTTCCCATGGCTCCTGAATTGAAATCAGTCAAGGCTGATGCTCCTCCTTCTGTTGTTGAAGAATTCGTCAGTCCTGTATCACCAACTAAAAATGTTGATGATGGAAACGTCACTTCTCTATTTGATCCCTCTATTATTTCAATTGCAACTGAAACTGTAACCCCCGATGTCTCAATAGTTAACAGTGATGTTCTAATAAGCAATCATGCCGATTCTGGGAACGCGACTGTGGTATCTGATGCAGTTGTGAATCAATCTTTAAATGCTGATCCTGCCCCAGCTGTCCTAAATGTTGTAGCACAGAGATACATTGCCGACATCAATGGGATGATTAATACTAAAAGTATCTATTTTTTCATTGTTGTTCATGTTATGACACTATGAAATGTTCCTGAAAGTACAATGAGCAACAAACTTAAGTCAATGGAAATGACGTTAGTTGATGCTCAGGTATTTTAAGCCCTCATTTATTGGTATATTACGCATAAAATGCAGTCTGATCATTTTAATAGTATTATTTTGACTGAATTTTTCTTGGTATATAGGGTAGTAAAATCCAGGCTACCATACTTGGCCGATATGTGAAAGATTTCATGGATTTCTTCAAAGAAGGTTGTGTAAGGAAGTTGTCACGTTTTGATCATTCTCTGAACATAAGTGGTGGATTCCAACGTGCTAAACATGAATACAAAATTCTATTCGAATCAAAGACACTGGTTGAATCTGTGATTGTTCTTGACATTGACATGCCTTTTCATGTATTTGATTTTACACCCTTTGCAGAAGTCTCAAATTTAGTGGCTAACTTTGGTTATTGTTTTGGTAAGAAAACTTTAATTTCATGAATCAGACAAATCTGTACTATATTTAAATACCCGTTTGAAAAATTTTTCTTTAATTTAATTTTTAATTAACCATTTGAATTCTTGCAGATCTGACAAGACACCTTATTGCATATAGTGATCCTATTGTTGACTACGGCAAAAAGAGAATTTCTGTTGAGCTTGAAGATGAAAGGTAAACAAATATGTAATGAATCCATTGAGTAAATTATGTTTATCTGTGTATTATTTTATGAATCTCAATGGCCGAATTTTACCTTTCATTTTATAAAGGGCTGACAGGTTTAAGGTAACTCTGTGGGGTGAACATGCTAACAAAGTTATTGATTACATGGCGACAAATCCTACTTATTCTGTTGTGCTAATTGTTCAATATGTTAAGTGCAAGAAGTATTACTGTAAGTACCCTAATCTATACTACCATATTTGCAAGTTAAATTAAATTTGTTTTTTGTAAGGGTAGTTTTAATAGCTGAAATCATTTTATGAAACAACAAAAGCTTCTGTCACTACAAACCTTTTGAATGGGAAAATTTATCTTGATGATATGACCATGCCTAACATTAAGACATGTATATCTAATAATAGTTTATATTATGCATTAGTTTAAGTTACATCATTATTGTCATATCTAACTTTTGAAACTTTTTAATCTTAAAGGCTGGCTATGTTGTGATTTTTGGTAAGATCACTGGATTAGCAAAAGAGTTTGATTGGTCATATATAAGTTGCAGAGATTGCAACAAAAATCGGAAGAAATTGAAAATGTCAGAGGCAAAAAACCTATCAGTGAAAAGACTAATGTACATTCTGGAAGGGGAAGGAATGTTGATGGTCAAAAGAAGTTAACAGTTGAGAAAAATGGATGTGTGGTAACCATGGGCCAGTTTTTTGCTGTTGGACCATAGTACATTCTATTGGAATTTACTTTATATACTGGCATTGTTAAAATCCATGTATATCCAGCATTATTCGATTATCCTAAGTTTTGTTTTTATATTTACATGAACGAGTTCAAACTTTAGGTGTATGTTATGGATGCTTTTGACAGCAGAATTGTGACATTGTGGGACAAGATGGTGTACAATTTCATCAATAAGACTGCTGAAAAACTACGTGAGAAGGTATAGTACACTTTCGGTTTTGGATTCAAGTTTACATTACCGTAATTTCATAGAATGTTAAAATCAAATTATGTATGTTATAGGAGGGGAAGGACTAGCCTAAAGTACTAGATGAATTGGTTGGCAAGAAATGTCTGTTCAGGCTGGATGTGTCTAATTACAACATACGCAACAGCAACAGTGAGATATCAGTTGCTAGGGTGACTACTGAATCAGACATTATTAAGAAATATCTAAATGATATCTCTGAAGACCAGGTATATAATATGCAATTTATTTACACATTTATGAACTAACTGATATTTTGTTATCTGGCTCCTAAACAATATTGAGTACAATTTACTTTATGCAATTACGTATCAGGAAATTGATCCTGAGATGATCGCAGAATTTTATCAAAATTTAACACCTACACAGGATAGCACTGCTAAGGTATTATTTACAATTGCTCATATTGTGCATCACAAAACTCAACGCAACGTTTTTGTAATTTAGTAAACATATGTTAATAGTACTTACATTTGCAAGTGAAAGCAGACTGCCATCTCCTGCACTGATGACACAGACATGGGATTTCTGGGAGACCACATGGCAGATAGTCCTCCTCTGAAGAATAAGATAGCAACTAGTGGCGGTGAAGAGAGTGTCAAATCCAATGCCCACAAGCGTGTCAGAAAGCTGTGATGATGAAGAATGCAGAGTCAAATTTATATTTTAGATAATAAAGAAACATTTACTATGCTAATGTGTTTCCAGCAAATGAATTTTTCCCTTGATCAAACTCTTTTATAATTTCTGCTATGCTTTTGGGTGCACTTATGTTTGGTGCTATGGATATTTGTGATTTGCTTATTCAAGTTATTGGATTTTATCTTATAACTTTTTAGAGTTATTTGTGTTTTTTACAAGAATGTTTACATCAGTTTTATATAAAACTGTAAATGATCTAAATTATAGATAAAGCTGTGAAGAAGAAAAAAAAGTTATAATTCAGATAAACTTGCATTGTTTTATTATAAACAATCCTATAAATCAAGCTGAGAGACAATGTATTTGGTATCTTTTAGAATAATAAATGGATTTGGAAACAAAAAGGTCATTACCATTTAAAAGTGTCCTACAAATCAGGGATTTAGAAGTTATCTTATAATTACAAGAGTTTGATTTCTCAATTATATACCATATATATCCATCTATTATTTTCTTATCGTTCAGAACTAACAAGCTTTTGGACTAATACAGCAGATCTACAAGTGCAGATGGCTAAAAACTGTTTCGTTGTTCTAAAAGAAAGTTTCGTTCTGGAACAGATAAAATTATATTTTCTTGAATTTAGTATATTGTTTATTATACAGTTTGATCATCAGCATACCATAAAGTTTTCAAGCAATTGTTTATGTAGTAGATCCCTCTGGTCAGTGCTCTACCACAAAATAACAACTCCCTTCAAGAAATTCAAGTTGTAAGCAACAATGGTCAATTCACTGTCACATGTGGTCTGAATTATCGTCATACTACTATTGTGTTTGCTGGGAAGTCGTGGGTCAATTTTGTCATAGCACATAAATTGCTCACTTATTATGCTATGTATATAACTGTTCAAGAACCAGGGTTGCTTCAAGTTTTAATTTTTGACCGAGATCATAATCTCATCAACAATTCAGTTCCACAATTAGCCTGGGATAACTTCAAAGATATTAAAGACAGAATGGTATGATATTTCCCAGGCTTATAATTTTATGCCTCAGTGTATTATCCTTATTATTTTAATACAATAATGATTTATTTATCAAAATCCATAATTGTATATTACCTATATACACAGATTATACCAAGGATGTTTAGTGAAATTCTGATGGAAGACCATGTGGTGAATCATTCAGATTCTTCATTTTGGTCTATTGACTATGGTGAATACGCATCTACAATTGATATTGATTACGAAGAAGGAACATCCGATAGCAAAATTGTACTTGCTGGAACTGAATGGAAGAAATTGTTCTCTGATCATGAGGATAACTTAAGGAAGCAACATGTGCAACTTTGAAATATGATGGGAATATGCGTTTCACAATCCAATTTTTCAAAGCTGATGGTTCAGAAATAATGGGTCCTATAACTGTAAATGAATGAGACTGTTTCAAAATCACTATTGGTGATAATCATTGCAAGAAGAAGACTTTTGTAAGTTGTTTAAGTCATTAAGTTTCTTTTGAATTCAATTGCAGTACCACTATTACAAAGTTTTCATCTTGTTAAATTTTTACAGAATGTTCCTGCTGAATTTTGGAAGAGGCATAAGAAAATTGTGTCTAAAAAAGAGCTGAAATTCATACTGCTGCAGGACCTTATCAGATGCATTTTCATAAAATTATGATCAGAAGCTCATTGGGAAAAAAGTTATACAATTGAAAATCGCAGGGGACTGGTTGTCATTGCTTTTTCATGGCAATGCTATACCAACAGGGAGCTTATGTCAATTCCATTTGAATAGAAATAGTGTGCAACCAGGGAAAAGTGATGTGAAATTTGCTTTTAGTGTGTGTAATTGATATAGAATTAAACACTTCAGTGTAGTTTTGTATTTTTTTTTCATATAAAAGTATTTCTAATGAAAAAAAAAAATTTGGTGGGGCTTTTTTTACTTATGTACTATACATTTTTTTCCCTTTTATATATTAAATAAATAAACAAATAATAAATGCAACTAGCATGGAAAGTTATTAACAATTATATTTACCATGTAATTTAATATGCCGTATATTTTCCACAAAATAAGAACTAGAGTGTGAATTGAAATATCATTATAATTATGGATAAAACCACAAAAAGAATCTGAATTCCTGAAACTATGATTCAATGTTTCCTAAAATTGTGGGAGGATCTGAAAAGGTATCGTTAAAAAGTGGAATACTTATCAGATACCTTTTATGACTTTTCAAGTCTTTTTTTTAATTAGAATTATCCAATAGTCTTATAAATAACCCCAGGCTCTTAAAATTCACAAAACATGAAAAAGCCAAATACGCAAAATTTTGAAGTTATACGATCATTAAAAAGGTTCTCAGGTTTACACAGACCCAAATACATATTGTATTCATTCCCCTTCAATTCCTGATCAAATTGTTTTGATTCAAAGTGATGGCAAACACAGTGAAGCAGGCTTATGAACAATTAATCAATGTTCTAGTTGATATTCGAAGGAAAGGATTGGTACGTTTCCAATTAATTTATTTGAAACTTTTCGATCAACAGTATGTATTAGAGAACTTATGTTACATGTTGTATGCAATTTACCAGATCCTTAGCAGTAATCTGTTTGCAATTATAAGACATGTCGGAAAGTAAATGAAAATCTTCATATTAATAAGAAAAGGAGATGTTAATTGTGGGGATCTGCTTTAGAAGAAATCTTCATAGAGATTGGTGTCACATTTACATCAAAGTTGCACATCGTTTATCAGAGATCTACTAATGTTCTTCAAAATTTTCATTTTAATTATGATGGATGTCAAATGATGCGATCATATCAGAACTCAAACCATGGCAACCGCTACCTATTGAGTTTAAATGATACATCGTTGAACCAGGCTGTAAATTTTCTTTTATATAAAAAAGCAAAATTTTTAGGTTATACTATACAAAATTTACTATCTGTCTCTATATGTTTTGTTTAAATCATCACTGAATTTTTTATCTATGAAACATATGATGTAGATTGTAGATAAGCGTTTCTTTTCTGCAATTGATTGGCCTTCATATCAAAACTCAACAAAAGCTGTTGATGTTAAGCATAATGATTGGGAGTTTCAGATATACAGGGTAAAAAATGAAGCAAGAGGTTTTACACGAAGCAAATGGGAGGAATTTGCTGATTACTACTATAATCATCATAATTGTATTAATGTGATTGTTATTTACACTGGCAACCTATTTTTCCATTTAAGGGTTTTCAACAATGAAGGTTACTGTTGTAACCTTGACATCGATGCCTCAGATACATCTGATGGTGAGTTTATGTTATTGAAGGCAACTGTAAATTTTACATTTGTCATTATATTATATTAGTCCGTGTTTAAATGTTATGATTAAAATATTATGTTCAATGCAGGTGAAATTGAAACAATCGAGTACCTCAAAAGCAACGATGATCAGAATACGCTCTCTACAATAATGACCAACAGCCTAATTCAACAGGCATATTGGTAACATACCTTTTTAAAAATCAAACTATATATATTACAAATTTTTATATACGTCATTTTATTTAAGATCATACATGTGAATTTACAGGAAATACCATGGCACATCATTAGAAGATTGAATTTAGAGGACTCATTAAGTGCAATACTTTACTATGATGGTGTACCTGTGATACGGATGCAATGTATTTTAAGAAAAGATAACCCGTTTCACTTTGTTATTGAAGGAGACATCACGTACATGATGGACCTCATGAAAATTCCAGTTGGTGTAACTTTGGGGATTCGTATAGATGCTCGCAAGGTAGCTAACAAGGAACATTTGATCCTTGAAGTTCTATAATTGTTTTTTATACATTTTATTTTTTTATTAATAAAAAAACACGATTATGATCCAATGGTTTACAGTAAGTTTTTTTTTCCTGTTCTATAATCAGATGTAATAAAATCAAACTATATATAGTCGATTTTACTTTGTGTTTTTATCTTCATAAATAAATTATATATCTATTTTATATTCAGCTGACTTATTACAATGTCATTGAATCATTATTTTAAATTATCAAAATATTAAAAATGCGACATAAAGTTCATATATTAATTTAAAGAGAAAAAAGGATTTATTATTACATGGAAGAAATACATTAAATTGACATTCATGTCTACATGTAGAGGTTATTATTAAATTAAACACCATTTTCATCAAAAAATGCTTCACAGTTAAAATTCACAAGTTACTATACTGTATATATGTATATTATTTTAAGACAGATATATATATATAATAGTTTATTATTTCATTCACAGATAAATAGAGATTGATTGCAAAATATTTTTGGATATTTAACATTATTCGACATGAATGTTTTTACACTTATCAATCCTTCTGATAAAATGGAATATAAGCTTTCGCAGACAATTAACCTAAACATCTTATTATTATTTTGAATTCATTAATCAGATGATACAGTTTTGCAGACAATAGGAAAATGGTGAATGCTAGAGCAAAAGAAGCCAAAATGTTCAGAAAGCAGATACTAGATAGTAAAAGATTATCGATTATCCATCGGAAATGAGGTATCAAAACAAACAAACCCGTTATAGTTCAAACTAATGTTTGTAAATTTCAGGCTTACATTGCAAGGATGAAAAGGAAACGAATATTGTCGCAGATCAGACTGATTAAGATTTTGAAGTTGCAAGGAATTACTGTATTGGATTCGTTTCCAAGACAAATCACTAAAGTTCAGAGTGCTAAACATACAAGGATTCGAAGGAGTCAAATATTGCAACAAATCAGACTTAAAAATAGGTTTCAAAGATCGTCTATAGCAGTTCCTGAAGTGATATTATTATCAAACGATGGAGTTTCCAGTGGTACTTTTTTCTTAAAATACAAAAGTTTTAGTTTCATAAACATCTTTAGAGTTTACATGAAATATATATATATATATATATATGCATAAATGTCTTTGTTTGTATGCTTCAATATTTAGTTTTCGTATTTTTGGTTTTTGTTGAAAGAATTTGAATTTGTTTGGGTTCTTTTAATCTGTGATTTTTTTTTCAAGGAAATATTAACCAATCAAAAGTCAATAGGAAGCAAATTTTGGACAAAAAAAAGGGAAAACCAGTCCAAAAAAGGACACCTGTTATTAAATGTGGTGTTATTATATATGATCAAAGCCAAAGTTTAACAAACACCAGTTTGCAACAATCATTACATATTGGTTCTGCTAATTCATCAGGTATATAACATATATTTATTCACTTTCTCATTAAAGCATATTTACAATCTCACCTCATTTGTTGAACACCAATTTGAAAAACTGATGTCCAGGCATCGCAACTGCCTTTGAGGCTCCATTGTATAGGATCCCACATTCTACTCAACATAGCACTTCGAATAGGAGGAAAAATATATTGCGATCTGAAAAATACAAAGTTAAACAGAATAAGATATCGTAATGAGCACAGGTAATGTATGTAAAATATTAATATATTTATGTTTATTATTATAAAAGTTTATTAATTGTATTACAAATTTTTATTTGATTGTAGAATACAATGATCTGGGAGATCCAACATATGTATGTGAATTTTTTGGTGCTTGGATGTGGTATGCAGAAAGAGCAAACAAACAAAGAAGAGAAACACATCCTAAATTCTCCATATGCTGCATAAAAGGCCAAATACATCTACCTTTACTGCAAGAACCACCTGCTCAGCTAAAAAATTTGTTCATGTCTAATGATGCAAAGGGTAAACATTTTCTGGAAAATATCCCAGCATATAACAATATGTTTGCATTTACATCAACGGGTGGCAACATTGTAAATCCAATCAATGATGGTCGTGCACCATATGTATTCAAGATGCAAGGACATAATAGCCATTTGATGGGTAGTTTACTTTCAGAAGATGATTTGAGGCCATAGTTTTCTCAGTTTTATATTTATAATACTCAGAATGAAATCAACAACGGGATTAGAGTTTTTAGGTATATTTGCACATTAATTTACAGTTAATATACTTGCATATAATGTTATGAGAATTTTTCGGTTGTCAGAAATATTAGCTTAACAGTGGTGTTTATAAACCATTGTTGGAATGTAATTGCAGTTCAGGTAAAACTCAAACAAGAACCCAAGTTCTCGATTCACAGATTGTTAGTGACATCAAAGAGGCAATAGACGAACACAATGTGTTGGTTAAAACATACAGGAAGGTACGTGGCATGCTACAGACAGATTCTTCGGCTGAAATCAGACTAAAGTTTATTTCAACAAGAGACACGGATGCCAGAACACATAGTCTACCAACTGTTGATGAAGTAGCAGCTATA